GGATAATCAGAATAGCAACCACATAACCACGCTTACTGCATATTTCAGGCAGGGGGCTAGGTCTTTGCATGTATTGTCTTTTCTGATCCAAAAGTCAGTTTTATACTAGATGGTATTAATTAGCTACCTTTTATTTTATTCTTTAAAATATATTTTTATTGAATTTAGAGAGGAAGGGGTGGGGGAAGAGAGAGAGAGAAACATGAATCATGAGAGAGATTCATTGATCAGCTACCTTCTCCACACCCCCACTGGGGATTGAGCTTGTAACCAGGGCACGAGACCTGACTGGGAATCGAAACCATGACCTCCTGGTTCATAGGTCATTGTTCAACCACTGAGCCACATAAGATGGGTAGTTAGCTTCCTTTTAAATGATTAGCACACTGAACTTGAGATGCGGTTAAGTAACTTGCCAATGTCACATTGCTAGCAAGTGACTCAGCGAGGATGCAAATTCTGGACCATTCAATTCCAAGACTTTAATTTTAAATTCCCCAATAAATAGGTTTTGCTATTCATTAAATTTTTGTCAGAACCAACTATTTAGGATTAAGTAACAGTTGTCAGAGATGGAATGACAACTTTAGATCTGGTTTGCCATCGTATCTCATTTACACTTGTTTCCCCAAAGACTTGCCAAGCACAAAGCTGTGCCTTTAAGTGACGGGCAGTGGGGACAACTTTGCTTAGGAACCCCTATCAGATGGGTTCTTTAGTGTCGTTAACCCCACACATACGACACTTAATCGGTTCCAGATTAAGTACTGGTAAGGGCTGAGGATAAAATCTCTCCCCTCTCTGACTCCCCCCTCCTCCCCAGAGGTGGAGTTCCTTGCTTTAGGGACCAGCCCAGGATGGTGTTCAAGAGTACATTTTCAGTAATAATATGATAACTGGCAACCAGCGTCAGAACTGTTTCCTCAATTGCCACTGGTTGGTAGTCCTTTCATCTAGAGCACTGTGTTCCACATCTTGCTGACATTCTGACATCTTCTTAGCACTTGGGCCAGGAGAAGAGAGGGACACAAACACATATGTAGTTGTCCTGCTTTGACATTGATGGACAGTAAGACCCAACTTATTCCACTGGATGAAGAGTGACAGTTAAAAAGATAGGTTCTTTATGGGTGCCTTTTTCTTTTTCTATTTTGTGCCTGGACAGCTCTCTAAAAAGCAGGTATAAGAGTCTTCCTTATTCCGTAAAGACAAAGGACCAAAACAACAAAACCCAAACCAAAAGTAAAACCAAACCCCCTGTCCCTGCTGTTTCTTTAGTACATATGGGTAAGGGTCATGGGCAGAGGGGAAGAGAGAGAACAGAATGGACCCCTGGAGCCTGTCTTATGTTGTTCTCTCTGTAATTCAGGCTTATTCCTTCCTGCTCCCATTTCTAAGGGGGGAAAATGCCTATAGTTAAGAATCTGTTTTTCTTCCCTGTGAAATGTAGTGAACCTAATTTCAGAAGGTTGTGTACTTGAAAATTACCAACCTACCATTAACATTCATGTTTAACCTTGCCCGCTTCCTCCTAGGTCTAATTTGAGAGAGGTGGGGGGAGGGGGGGAGAGGGAGGGAGGGAAAGGGAGAGAGGGACACTGTCCTACTTGCTTCTCTTTGGTTGCAAGCAAAACAAACAAACAAACAAACAAACACAAATCTAAGAATGTTAAATGTTTTGTTATGTACTTTCTTTTTGAGGGGAAGAAAAATTCTGACTAGAGGCTGTGAGTGGTAGTGAGTAGGCAGGCCACCCCCTGTGGAGGGACTAGGTTAGGGGTGGAAGCCAAACGGAGCTGCTCTAGAACAGTTTTCCAGGGGACGACAATGGCCTGTGACCCTGGTCCCTTGGGGTCAGTCCTACAAGCTTCTGAGACAGTCTTCTTCCTCATTTACATTTCTCATTTCTTCTTTGAACTCTGACTCTTTCTCCTTATCTAGTAATAGAAACGGTGCCCGAAAGCGTATCCCACACATGCGCTGGGCATCTCTGGGCAGAAGTGAGATGCTCCCATGCAGGGATTTTACATGTGGTCATTGTACAAGACTCTGCATGTAATGGACAGAGAGACTCTCTAACAGCTCTGTATTGCTTTGTATCTTTGGTTATAAAAGCACTGAGGGCCGACAGTACAAATCCTGGCTTTTTCCAGATGCTTTCCCCTAGATCTGCAGGCTCTGTAGATACCCGCTCTTCTTTCCATGTCATTGCAGATCCAAGATCTGGCACATATTTGATATAAGAAGAGTCATTTGATTTCTAAACTTCAGTGTCACCGTTCTCATTGCCTGGTCATCAAACCACCTATTGGAAGTTTTTGCTATGGCATTTCCCCACTCCTGATACCAGTTTCTGTGTTAGTTGGGACATGGGTTAAACTGCTGAGACAGAGACCTCAGTGGCTTAAACAAAACAACTTTGTCTTGTGTAATATTTCTGAGAGCGAGTGGTCCCTCCTGATGGGGCATCTTTGTTTCCTCTGGTTGTCTGTGGTCCCAGGTTCCTTCCATCTCATGTCTCTGTCGTCCCTTGGCACGTTGCTCTCACCTGCGGTGCCACACCCAGGTGGCTGATGGTCCATGTTCCATGCATGGGGAAGGGGGGAATGGTTAGTTCTTTCAGGGGAGGTAGAAGCTGCGTGGTCACTTCTGGTCATTTTCTCATGGTGAGAACTTGTCAGGCTTGGCTGCAAAAAACATTGGGAGACAGTGTTGCTGAGTGGTTGAGCGTTGGCCTATGAACCCGGAAGTCACAGTTTGATTCTTGGTCTTTGGGGCACATGCCCAGGTTGCGGGCTAGACCCACAGTGGGGGATGTGCAGAGGCCTGCTGATTAGTAATTCTCATCGTTGATGTTTCTATCTCTCTCCCTTCTCACAAATCAATAAAAAAATATTATTCAAAACAAAACAAACCTTGAGAAATATAGCGTATGAGAATGAAGTATGGGTTTTGTCCTTTGTCCATTTTTCTATTGGTTATGTGACTTACTCATCTGTGGAATACCTTACATACTCTGGATTTGAATACCGTTTAGGGGATACAGGTTACATTTATTTTCTTCCAATCTGTGCATATTTTTCATTTTGTTCACGGGAGGGCTTTGTTGTATATAAATTAAAAATTTTAATGTAGTAAAATTTGGAGATCTTTTTATAACTTTTGATGGGGTGTACTTTATGTCGGTAGTTTTTATTTTAGGTACTCTACATCCATTTTGTGGCTGGGGTAGGCAGGGCAGGTGCCATGATTGATAGACTCCACAAAAATGTAACTTAGGACCGACTTTCCTCTTTCAATTTTAAAAGAAACATGTCCTTTTAAATAGGAAAAACAAAACCATCTGTTTGATGCCTCTTCTTATCATTAATTTTATTATTTGACAGGATTTATAATTATTTGTCCCTTTTCTAACCAAACAATTAAGTAGTTCTCCAAATTATTCAGTTGTCAAAATATTTCCCTAACATTCATTTTTAATCTAGAAGACTCTGATAGTCCCAAAGGTAGGGGATTCATTGAAATGCTAACCCAGAAATTAGAGATCAAATGTGATGTGAGGGTCAGTGTTCCAGCTGCTGGGTGTGGCTCGTGTGCAGTGGAAATTAGATCCAGAACTCAGGAGAAGAAAGAGGGTCAGAGATGTGGATTTAGGAATCCAGAGGAGACTGTTGAGACCTGGATAGTAATTAAGTGCCTCACAGAAGAGCACATGTGGAGAGGGCTGTACCCGCATTTTGAGGTCTGAGAGAAACCAGTTGCAGGGACAGATGTTAGCATCTTCTAACTTATGGGCAAGTAGATCGAGGCTGAGACAGATGACTGTACCTATAGTTAGTAGTTGGTAGAGTTGGTACTTGGGACCAGATCTTTTCTTTTTAAAATGTTTTTATTGACTTCAGAGAAGGGAAGGAGTCGGGGGAGAAAAACATGAATTATAAGAGAGAATTATTGATTAGCTGCCTCCTGCACACCCCACACTGGTGGGGTGTGAGGTGTGCAGGAGGCAGCTAATCAATAATTGCTGACGGAGCCAGCAACCCAGGCATGTGCCCTGACAGGGAATTGAACTGTGACCTTCTGATTCCTAAGTCTATGCTCAACAATTGAGCCACGCCTGCCAGGCCTGGGACCAAGTCTTTTTTACACCAGAGCCTAACCAGCTGTTGCACCCCCTACTTACAAAGGCGGAAGAGATGGTCGTTGGTGTCAGTTGAATTTTCGATTATTGGTTCTGCTGCCCTGGGTGGTGGAGAGGGTGGTTGCTGAGGTACGGGCATGGGTGCAGTCACTCATAAAGTTTGGTGGTGGAGGAGGACAGGCAGAGAGGAGGAGCTTGAGGGACTGTGAGGTGTGTGTGTAGGGGTGCAGAGAGATCTGAGTGAAATTAGAGGTCTAAGCCAAGACTTCTGTTTGCAGAGCAGAAAGATAGGAAGGGTGATCGATCGTGTTAGAAAATCCTTGCAGCAGTTCCGTTGCCTCCTTAGAAAGTACATGCATGTGAGGTGTTTGGGGTAAGTCTTGACGATAGTTGAAAAGGCAATAAAGTGAAGGTGTGTTCTTTTCAATTATTTAGCCTTTAGAGTGGCTGTTAATTAGAGGGCATAATGATTGTTTCAAATTGACCATAATCTCAATTTATAAATTGTGAAGAAAATTTTTTTTAATGAGTTACTTTGGAATACATTTGTTCCATATTCAAGCTGCTATAATCCTGAACAGTTTATAACAGTTCCTACTAGGAGGAAACTTCTTAGAGTGAATTGTAATTTGAGGATAACGAAAAAATATGGCATGTTTTACATTATTTGATTGTCATATTGCAGTAGAGAATAAATATATAAGCAATGCCATTAATTGTGTCATAAACTTTTTCTCTGTTAGTGAAGTATTGTCATTGTGTTATCCTTTTTCCTTTATGACAATTGCTTTATTGGTAAATTCATCAAAGATTAATATAAATGCAAAAATGACTATCTATTCTCTTGTTCACTATGCAGCAGAAATCAAAGAACAGTCTGCAGAAGAGGATGCTGAGGCGGAGGCGGATGGCAGCAAGCGGCTGGCCCCGGCCCTGCAACGCTCTGTGTCTGAAGAGTCTGCGAGCTCCCTGGTCTCAGTTGGTGTTGAAGCCAAAATCAGGTTAGAGCATGAGTACAGCTGGTCGGAGATGAGCAACAGGAGAGTGCAGCTTAGGATGTGAATCTGGATGGCATTTTATTATTTAGTAGCTTTACATTTATTTCAGGCTGATGCCTCTCTGTGTAGTTGCGGGGAGGGGAGTCTGTGGGCTCAGGTGTAGAACCAAGCGATACTCTAGCGTAGAGGTGGAGAATGTCTGGCCCAAGAGCCATATGAGGCCTGGGAAATCATTTGGTCTGGCCATGCCAAGGTATTGGAGGTGAGTTAATTAAGAAGGCGGGCTTTTTTCTGCATTCTATTGGATTGATAATTTTTCCCCCTATTGAGATGGTTTTCCTTATATTAAGGCTCAGACTTCATTATTCTTTATTGAATTTAGTTTTGAAAGAATTTGAAACTTACAGTTTTGATTGATTTAAAAAAAAAAAAGTCTTATATTTTCATCTCTCTTCAATCCGTGGCATTTCATTTTCAGTTCTATAACCCCCTACCACCAGAAGGTAAAGAACAGTTCCAGCCTAGCTGGCTTGGCTCAGTGAATAGAGCGTTGGCCTGTGGAGTGAAGAGTCCCGGGTTCGATTCCGATCAAGGGCATGTACCTTGGTTGTGGGCTCAGCCTCGGGGGAGCGTGCAAGAAGCAGCTGATGAATGATTCTCTCACATCATTGACGTTTCTATCTCTTCCTTCTCCTTTCCTCTCTGAAATCAATAAAACAACAACAACAAAACAAACAAACAAACAAACAAAAAAAACCCCAACAGAACATTTCCATCACACCAAAACTTCTCTGAAGCCCATTGTTGTCACCCCTGACCCTGGCTTCTGCCCTCAGCTGCCACTCACCTATTTGCTGTCCCTATCATTTTGGCTGTGCAAATACATCATGTGAGTGGAACCATCAAGTATCTATCCTTTTTCTTAGCACAATGCATTCAAGGTTTATCTGTGTGATTGCATATGTTGTGGTTGTTCTCTTTCTATTGCTGAGTAGGGTTCTGTTTTGTGGAGTTGCCTACCACGGTGGTTTTTATGCATTTCTCAGTACAGAGTATTTGGGCAGTTTCCATTTGTTGGCAGTTATGAATAAAATTGGTGTAAATAGTCTCTTCTAGGTTTTGGTGTGAACAGAGGGTTTTTATTTCATTTGGGCGAATGCCTGAGAGAGATCATTTTAAAGGGAAACACAGTGTTTCCTCATGCACTGTACTGTTCTGTGCTCCCACTAGTGATGTGTGAGTTCCACTGGAGAGTGGGTAGGAAGGATGCTTCTTGTTCTGATTCAAATTGATTCTTAGGCACAGTGCCCTTAGGTTTCAGGGATTGATATTCTCAGTGGTCCCACCATTGCTCTAGTTGTGGGAGAACTGGGTCCAGGATGTAGTCTTGCTCCTTGTCCAGAGTTAAAAGTCCCTCCAATTCTATTCCTTCATCCACAGTTGGTCATCACCATTGCAGCATGGTGATTTTTTTTTTAAATATATTTTTTATTGTTTTTTTACAGAGAGGAAGAGAGAGGGATAGAGAGTTAGAAACATTGATGAGAGAGGATTATCAATTAGCTGCCTCTTGCACCCCCCCCACTGGGGATGTGACCGCAACCAAGGTACATGCCCTTGACCGGAATCGAACCTGGGACCTTTCAGTCCATAGGCCGACGCTCTATCCACTGAGCCAAACCGGTTTCGGCAGCATGGTGATTTTTGCTGTCCTCCCACCAGCCTAAGTTTTTTGTTTCCCAAGAAAAATGGGAGAGACAATCTGGGTGGGTCTTTGTGACTTTCCAGATTCCCCTCCACCAGCTACTGTGTTTCTCCGAAAATAAGACATCCTCTGAAAATAAGACCTACCGCATGGAAAGATAAGACATCCCCTGAAAATAAGACCTAGTGCAACTTTGGGAGAAAAAATTAATATAAGACACTGTCTTATTTTCGGGGAAACAGGTAGTACCATGACTGGCACATCCTTGGGACTCTTCCCCATGCACATTGGAAATCCAAAGACAGATCCTCTTGTGTCCGTAGGTCATGGATGCTTTATATTTTGATACTCAGCCTTCATTAGTTTCTTGAATTTTTAAAAAAAAAATTAGATAAATCTTTATTGTTCAGATTATTACAATTGTCCCTCTTTTTCCCTTCAATAGCTCACCTCCACCAGGTTCCTAACCCACCCTTTGCCCTTACCTCCCCCACACTGTCCTCATTCATAGGTGTATGCTTTTTGTCCAGTCTCTTTTCGCACTCCCCACTTCCCTTTTTCCCCAAGAATTCTCGGTCCACTCCCTTTCTATGCTCCTGATTCTATTATATTTATCAGTTAATATTGTTGATCAGATTTTTTTCCCCTTGGTTTTTAGATTCACTTGTTGATAGATAAGTATTTGTTGTTTATAATTTTTATCTTTATTTTTTTCTTCTTCTTGCTCTTCTTAAAGAATATCTTTTAGCATTTCATATGATTCTGGTTTGGCGGTGATGAACTCCTTTAGCTTTTTCTTATCTGTGAAGCTCTTTATCTATCCTTCAATTCTGAATGATAGCTTTGCTGGGTAGAGTAATCTTGGTTGTAGGTTCTTGCTATTCATCACTTTGAATATTTCTTGTCACCCCCTTCTGGCCTGCATAGTTTCTGTTGAGAAATCAGCTATGGGTGCTCCCTTGTAGGGAACTGTTTTTCTCTTACTGTTTTTAATATTCTCTCTTTGTCTTTTGCTCTTGGCATTTTAATTATGATGTGTCTTGGTTTAGTCCTCTTTGGATTCCTTTTGTTTGGGTTTCTGTGCGCTTCCTGGACTTGTAGGTCTATTTCTTTCACCAGGTGGGGGAAGTTTTCGGGTCACTATTTCTTCAAATAGGTTTTTAGTATTTAGTATCTTGCTCTCTCTCTTCTTCTGGAACTCCCATAATTCGGATGTTGGTACGCTTTAAGTTGTCCCAGAGGCTCCTTACAGTATCTTCATAGTTTTGGATTCTTTTTTCTTTTCTCTTTTCCAGAGGAGTGTTTTTTGCTTCTTTGTATCCCAAATCTTTGACTTGATTTTTGGGATCATCTAGTCTGCATTTAAGTCTCTGTATAATATTTTTTATTTCAGTCAGTGTATGCTTAATTTCTAGTTGATTCTTTTTCATATCCTCAAGGGTCTCATTAAATTTATCGGCCTTTTCTAGAAAGTTCTTGAAAAACTTTATAACTATGGTTTTGAACTCTATATTCATTCGTTTGTTTTCCTCTATTTCCTTCATTTGTGACTTCCCTTTTTGCCTTCACATTCTCGCTGCTTCCCTGAGTTGATGGAGTTGCTTTGTATGCTAGGTGTCCTAGCAGGGCCCAGTGGCTCATTCTCCCCAGTTACCTGAGGTGGACACTCTTGGTGTGCCCCTTTGTGGGCTGTGTGCATAGTCTTGTTGTAGTTAAGCCTAGATTGTTGTTAGTATCACTGGGGAGGTTGATCAGCTGTGTCTCCACTGGGAGAGCTTCTGTGCTCAGCTTGGATGGGGTAGAGTCTCTGGGTGGAATAGACAGCATTGGTTTCCCATCAGCCTCTCTCTAAGAGGCCCATGTGTCTTAGTGTCCCGTGGCAGTGGCTACACGCACCTCTGAGAGAAGGCTGCTCTCGAGTTTCACCCGCTGCGAGACAGTCCAGTTTCTCCCTGAATGAGTCTGGGTGTCCAAAAGTCTCTGCACTGGGGTTCAGTGCAGTCGGGTGGTTTTGTTTCCCTCCCGAATGAGAAAGCTAACCATGCCGTGAGGAAGCCAGCTGCACGTTCAGCTGCCTGCCTTTTCCGCGTCATGGATCTCCGCACCTCTGCCTCCACAGCTCCTCTGAGTCTCAGTGTCTTTTTCTCTTTCCTTCTAGTTGTAGACTTTCCAGTGAGCCAGCTTTCCGGTGGTTCTGAATGATGTCCACTCTGTCTTCCAGTTGGAGTTTTGAAATTGTTGTGCAAGGCAGCAGTATAGGTGTTTACCTATGCCGCCATCTTGGTTTCTCTCAGTTTCTTAAATTTTTTGTTGAATTCTTCTTATCCTGTTTGTAAGGCATAAGGGGGCCTCTTGCCCAGATGTAGCAGGTGCCTGTATCTTATCTCTGTATGGAAATGCCTGTCCTTTAGTTGTGGGTGAATTGGTGGCCCTGCAGCTCCTGCAGTCTGATGGGGCAAACAGATGTGAATTTGTAGACTGTCTGGCGAGTGTTGGTGGCAAGGAGGGAGCAGTGCTCTGCAGCTTTATAAATCTGAAGTGGAGACCAGGGGTTGTTTCTGTGACCCCCCCCCCCCAAAGTTAACAAATTACTCTGAGATGTTCAACTTTCTTCCTACATCTCTTATTACCTTTCCTAATGCTTCAATAATTTGAGTACTTCTCTAAAAATATTTTCATGCGGGCCTATTGTATGGTAAAATTTCTGAGGTTTTATAAGACTAGGAATGATTTTATTACACTTTCACTTTTGTTGTTGTTGTTAATTCTATTTTCCCTTTGATTTTTAGAGAGAGTAGAAGGGGGAGGGTAGTAGGAGAGAAAGAGAGAAAGAAGGAGTGGGGGAGAGAGAGGGGGGGGGAGAGAGAATACGAACACACACCTGGATATGAGAGGGACACATCAAATTGGTAGATAAAAATAATTATTGAGAGCCCCTTCTAGTTGCTAGATGGGATACTGCCCGATTCATGAATCACTTAATAAAGCCAATTAGTTCTTCAAATAAAAAATTGCCTAAAAGAGATTATTTCTATCACCTTTTAATGCAAGGCATTATGAAATTCGTGGGTAGATATGGCAGAAGTGATGGCGGAAACCTTGTTTCCTGGGAAGAAAGATTTGGATGGAGCTGTTGTAAATGAGTGGTGAAAAGAAATATATCCAAGAGAGAGTACTTTTCATTCTGTTCTTTCTAAGGTCCCTCATTAAGTATACACCTCACCAGCATATATTGTCCTTGTCTTTTAATTTTTATAATAGTTTCTTTAAAAAATTAACAGATTTTATTGTTTAGGACAATTTCAGGTATACAGAAAAATCAAGCGGATGGTAGAGAGTTCCCAGTGCCAACCTTCTCCTGCTTCTATATCCCCTATTATTAGCATTGTTCACTAATGTGGCACATTTGTTACAACTGGTACACCAGATGTGACACATTATTACTAACTGAAGTGCATAGTTTACTCTGGGTTCATTCTTTGTGTTACATAGTTTTCATAATTGCATAATGTCAGATACTTGTCATTACAGTGTATCCTAGGAAACAGTTTCTCTGCTCTCCCAGTCCTTGCTCCCCTTCTTTATCCTTTCCCATTCCTGTCGAACCCTTTTCACTCCTCCCTGGTTAACTGTCCAGCCCAGAAACCACTTACATTTATGTTTTCGTATCTCTCCCTGTGTCTGTGTGTGCGGTAATATATCATGCATAAAGAACGTCCTATCAGGTGTTTAAATAAAAACTTTGTCACCATTTGTTTTACAGAGCTGATCTGTAATTGTGTGGCCATTAAACACTATCCTTTTCCCCAGTCTTAGCTTTACTTCCTTTATTCTTGTTAATACTTTGAGTTTCTTAAATCATATTTAAAAGAAAATCGTGTTTCTAAGTACAAATATAATTTTTGATTTGGTATGTTTATTATTTAAAAAAAATACCTTGTGGAAAAGTAGAATTGCAAATGTATAATTGTTATTAAACTTAATTGTTCTTATGCTGTAGACATATTAGTATTTAAAAATGTCTTACTAAAAACACAATATTTAATTTTAAAACACAGCTACCTGTAGCTGTCACTTTGAAAAATTAAATTTCACTTTCTCTGTCTCCTTTACTTTCATTTCTACCAGTGAACAGCTCTGTGCTTTTTGTTACTGTGGTGAAAAAAGTTCCTTAGGACAAGGAGACCTAAGACAATTTAGAGTAACGCCTGGATTTATCTTGCCGTGGAAAAACCAGCCTTGTAGCAAGAAGGACATTGATGACAACAGCAATGGGACCTGTGAGAAAATTCAGAACTCAGCACCACGAAAACAGAGAGGACAGAGAAAGTAAGCAGTTTTTTATTTATGTTTTGTTAAGCCTCACCTGTGGACATATTTTTCCCATTAATTTTTAGAGAGAGTGGAAGGGAGAGGGAGAGACACAGAGAGAAACATGGATGTGAGAGAGACACATCAATTGGTTGCCCCCCACATGCACCCCTCCTGGGGTCAGGGGGATCCAGCCTGCAACTGAGGTATGTGGCCTTGACTAGAATCAATCCGGGACTCTTAAGCCCAAGGGCCGATGTTCCAACCACTGAGCCAAATTGGCTAGGGCAAAAGTAAGCAATTTTAATTTAAGTGGCTGGAATGCATTATGACTGTATAAGTTCTCTTTATTGCATTGTTTGTGACTGTACAAATGGTGTTACTGAACAGTTTCTCATGTTTTCAACTTTCATAGGGTCTTTATGACTCAGCATTAAACCAACAAACACTCCTTTTCTCAAAATTTCTTATTTTTAAAAATTTGCTATCTTAACTGTATATTAAAATCAATGCGCCAAGACCGGTTTGGCTCAATGGACTGAAGGGACCCGGGTTCGATTCCGGTCGAGGGCATGTACCTTGATTGTGGGCATATCCCCGGTAGGGGGTGTGCAAGAGGCAGCTGATCGATGACTCTCTCTCATTGATGTTTCTAACTCTCTATCTCTCTCCCTTTCTCTTTGTACAAAATCAATAAAATATAAAAAAAAAATTAAAAAAAAATCAATGTGATCACAAAAAGTTAATTTGTAGAAGAGAACTTTAAAGAATATAATGTAAATAGAAAAGAAGGTTTAAAAAAATTAATGAAATCTTTTCTTTAAGTAAGTTTTTAATGGTTTGTGAGAATATAATAAGAGAACAACAAAATCAAAGTGTTTTTCACTAATGTTCTTTATGTACCATTTATTGATTTATTTTTATGGTTCAGAGAATGTTGAGCTCTTTTGTAAACTCTTATCACAATATAGTGTGGAGTTGCTTTCTTTCTAAGTAGTAATTATATGCTGAGAATGCCCTTTCTAAAGTTAAAGATGTTCTTTTTATTTAAAAAAACAAAAAGAAACAAAAATATTTGTATATCTATATATTTATATTAAACACTTTCGTCTAATAAAGTTAAAAATCTCTTTATATGTTATACAGGTTTGGTTAAAGGCCATCTTATTAATCTTTGGATTTGGCTTTGGTAGTCAAGAGAACAGGATTTTCTGAGGTCCACGAGAAAGTGTAAAATTAATTTAGCTTGGAAGGGCTGGCCAGTTCTGCCCCTGGAGGGTGATGATGTCATCCTCCAAGTGCTTGTCTGGCTTCCCTCCAGAGTTCAGTTCTAAGGCATTGTTGTGTTGTACCTATTTGATTGGTTCCTTCTTTTGGACTGCTGCCAATGCCTTGAAGACCTGAAGTAGGAAATGAAACAATCACAAGAGAGAATCTTTTAAAAGAGTTTAAGGTGGAACAGTTTAAGGAAGTTTAGAAGTACTGTATCTGGAGTCTGGATATTTTAATCATACACGCCAGCTTTCCCATTGTGATTAAAATGAGTGGTTTTATTCTACTGAGGACTGCTGGAATTCTAAGAAGGGCTGCTGTCCTCAGGGTTGACATCAGCACCTTAAAACCTGACAGGTAAATCTGATTGAGCTGCTGGTTAGGACCCATTAGTAATTGACTGATTTTCCATTCCATTGGTTTTTATACCCATCCCCCATTACAATGTCCATCAATAATACAAATTTATGGATTGGACCAGGTTATATCTTATATCTTCATGTTCTGCATTGAATAATGGCAATTATGTCAACACCTGTTCTGTGGAATACAGTTGGGCTTCAATACTTACTTATTTTATAAGCTAATTTTTAGTGAAAATGTTCATGAGCTAAGATGTTTATTATATAAAAATAGCCCTTTTTGGTTTAATGAAAGTCTTTATGCACACTTAGTGTTTACCAAGTTATTAAGTAACATTAATAAGTCAGTTAGTGGATCTTAAGAATAAAGCACATTTATAAAATTTGGAAATCATTTAAGAGTAAACAATTTAGGTTGGTAGTGATTAAATATTTACAGAATATGTAGCTAATGGGCTGTAAATTAGATGAACAGCTAGTTGTTTTTTGTTTTTATTTTTTAATTTGTAAAGGAGGTTTTTAAATTGTTCTTCCTTCTCGGTTTGCTAAATAGAAAGCTATATAATAAAGGGTTTATTTCTACTTTCTTTTTTGTTTATACTTAAAATTTTGGGGGTATGTTCTTCATCTGGCTTCTTTTGATTCTCTTTCCCAAGGAGGGTTGCTGTCATCTTTAGGGTTGACATTGGCATTTTACTGATTGGGTGCATACATACAAACTGGTTGAAAACCTGAAGGGGAAATTGATTAAGCCTTGGGTTAGGAACTGGTTAGTAATAGACTGGTCAGCCATCCCATTGGTTTTTATACCTATCCTCCCATAAAAGGTTGGTACAAAGGAAACATGTCAAAAATGGTATATTAGTCATTATAAATGGGCTACTAGTGTTTTCCCCCCTCCCAATAAAATAATAATGATTAATAATGAAGACTATATTTGTAGGAATGGAGATTATATTTATAGGAAAGAGTTTGTTCTCATTTTCTGTGGACATTTAGAAAAATGAGAATTTAAAGATAGCATAGTATGCTAAACTTTCTAAAAAAAATTAAGTCTATGAATTTTTTTGTGTGTATTCTTTTTTTTATTTTTATTAAATTATTATCTGTGTACATATTTTAACATTGCCCCCCCCCCCTACATACTCTCCCTCCCCAGAGTTTTGTGTCCATTGATTGTATTTATATGCATCTATACAAGTCCTTCGGTTGATCTCTTATTTCTCCCAGATCTATGAATTCTCCCCACGTCTATGAATTTTTAATGCTGAATTTTTAATGCTGAATATAAAACATATTGGTTATTTTTACATGGTTTGATATTTAAATATACTTACTGAAATATGTTAATACTTTTTTTTTCTTCCAATGATTCCAGGTATAAAAGTTTAGTACCTTGGTCGGTGTGTTGATATTCTTTTAATAGGAGTCATGGTAAATACCCAGCAGACAGAAGGGCAGTGAGTTCTGATCTATATTCCATAGTGTGTAATTCCGTAGCATTTAATCCAGGTGGTAGGTCAAATACTGTGCCACAGGAGACATAGCATTTTACTGACAGCTACCTGGATGCCCACGCTTCATGTTTAAATGCAATAGCAGTCGTTATTTATGTAATTATCTTAATTAATACCTGAAGTTTAAGGGCCTTGGAAGTCTGAAATCTCCCATTGTGTACCTTATTCAATGTTGGTTTGTATACTGTAGTTTTTGCTGTTACATCATCTTCTTCCTTGTCTCCAACCCTCTGGTGGCTATTTTGCTTTTGCCTTTTTACTTCTGACTTGTGAGGTGCGGTCTTGGTAGAGAGAACCTGTGGCAGACCAGCTGCCGAGATTTGTCGAAGGGACCATAAGCAGCTCCAGATGACATGCTCTGCTCCCACGCCTCCATCTTCACACTTAGTGCATTTTCATTTCCCCTGAGAAATAACCTTTTTTATGTAAACAACTGCCAGCTCTGCAGCGGTAGACCTCACTTAGAGAAAAACAAATTAAATTTCTGATTTGAATGAGTTAAGTTTTATAAACTTTAAAGAAAGACCAAAGAGAATATTTACTTTATATGATAAAATATGGCTCCTGATAATAATTTTAGAGCTCAAGTTTATATATATATATATCTCAAGTTTAAAAAAATAGTTATAGAATGGCAAAATAAATGTGAAACTGTGATTTTTACCTTTTTTACTTATTTATAGACTTTTTAGTTGTTGCTTACATGACAAACGTTTTACACTGTGTATGAGTAATAACAGATGTGTTCTAAAAGTTGTTTTTTGACAGCGTATGCCTAATAAATTAAAGATGACCTGGCAATAAGTGATGTTTAACTTATAAAATGAAACATTTTGGTTGTTACCACTTTCACATCAGTTTTATTTTATTTCCCTAGAGAACGGTCTCCTCAGCAGAATACAGTATCGTGTGTGAGTGTGAGCACGCAGACTGCTTCTGATGACCAGGTTATTCAATTATGGGATGAGCTCAGTCTTGTCGGTCTTCCCGACGCCATTGATGTCCAAGCCTTATTTGATCCCACAGGTAGGAGCTGATCTTCAATCATCACTACCTCTTGATTCTTTAAGCATCTTAATTTTAGTGAATTACCAACTTCATAGTAAATACCTTTCATCTAGAAATAATTATGATCACATTGTAAAAAATGTCATTGTTAAGTATCCTATTTAGGTAAAATACATTGTCTAATTATGTTGAGCTAATTTAGTTAGCATCTGCACAGAGCTAACCCTGGACTAGATGCTTTCATAAATATTTGCATTTATTTATTTTATTTTTTTAAATATATTGATTTTTTACAGAGAGGAAGGGAGAAGGATAGAGTTAGAAACATTGATGAGAGAGAAACATTGACAGTTGCCTCCTACACACCTCCTACTGGGGATGTGCCCACAACCAAGGTATACATGCCCTTGACTGGAATTGAACCTGGGACCCTTCATTCTGACGCTTGATCCACTGAGCCAAACAGGTCAGGGCTGCGTTTACTTTTATGTAAGCAGTAATGCCATGGTGATCTGACAGTTGAAGACAGAGGACATTTTAAAATATGTGTGAAAATTTAGGGAACATGGCAGTGTGGTATATTTACTGTAGGGGTAAAGAATATTAGTTCTTAGCCGTGTGGGTATCTCATTATAACACAACTAGAGGCCTTTTGCACGAAGATTTGTGCATAAGCCTTTCTTCCCCTGGCTGCCAGCACCGGTTTTCCTTCAGCACCCGGGATCTAGGCCTTGATTCTGGCTGCTGCCTTCAGTCTTCACTCTGGCTAGAGCACCGCTCCTGTAGCTCCCTCTACCCTCCCCCTCATAGCAGGCGTCCTGCCCCACCTGGCCACTCCACACCTGTATGCGTGATGCCCAGAGGCCCAGAGCGGCTGGAGGGTGGGGCTGCCATCAGACCTGTCAGGTTAATTTGCATACTTACTCCTGATTGGCTGGTGGGCACCATAAAGTGACAGTCAATTTGCATATTTCTCTTTTAATAGTGTAGATAGTAATGCGTACTCATGAGATGGTGCTGCTGGATTTTTGAATAAATTTAATTGTATATTGATAGTAGTTCAAGTGCTCTGTGATAGAGAATTTGATGACTGAGCTGTTATCAATGTTGATGTGGACTCTTGGTGGGTGTGGGATAGAGCAAAATAGAGGTGTACTGGTATATTGAGGCCTATTTGCCATATAGTCTGTCATAAACAAAGTATTAAATTATGTCCTTTATATTTTACTGGAGGCCCAGTGCATGGATTTGTGCACAAGGTGGGGTCCCTTGGCCTGGCCTAGCCTGTGGAGATCAGGCTGAACTCCTGCTTCTCTTGTTCCAGCTGTGTCACCCAAGAACTGCAGCTGCCAAATAACTGCAGCTCAGCAGCTCCCGTGCTGAGTGTCTGACCCCTAGTGGTCAGTGCACGTCATAGCTACTGGTTGGAGTGTCTGTCCCTGGTGGCCATTGCACATCATAGGTACCAGTCGGCGCGTCGATTGCTTAGGCTTTTTCATATATAGATGTGTAAGAGTCCAAATAAAATATCTTCCAAAAATCTATATAAAAGCCTAACTGACCGTTACAACTAGAAGACTGGCCAATAGCTATGATGTGCACTGACCACTGGGCAGATGCTCAATGCAGGAGCTGCCCGCTGGTGGTCATTGCGCTCCTACAACCAACCCTTCACTGGTGGCCAACATCCTGTGGTCCCTCCCCCTGGCCGGCTGGCCCCTATCAGGCCCTATTGGGACTGGGTGAGACTGTCCTGATCACTGGCCAGGCTGTGGGACCCCATCTATGCACGAATTCATGCACTGGCCTCTAGTCCTACTTAATAAAAACCTAATACATTAAGTGTCTGTCTGTTCGTCTGTTCAACCAATCAAAGAGTAATATGCTAATGATGTGCAAGGCTGCTCAACCGCTTGCTCTAACATGCACTGACTCCCAGGTTCTAGACAGTTGACCAGTTCACCAGTTGCTATGACGTGCACTGACCACCAGTGGGCAGACACTCCGAGCAATTGGTTAGCTTGCTGCTGGGGTCTGGCTGATTGGGACTGAGTGAGATGTGCTGGACATGCCCTGGAGTCCTTCTGTTACCCCTCCCCCGCTGGCCAACCTCCTGCATCCCTCCCTGGCCCCAGTTGTGCATTGGTGGGATCCCTCTGCCTTACTTGTGCCCTCCTGCAATCTGGGACCCCTTGGGGGATGTCAGCTGGTTTGGGCCCAATCCCACAGTCCAGGCTGAGGGACCCCACTGGTGCACAAATTCATGCACCGGGCCTCTAGTATTTGTTGCTGGGAGAAATAACTTCTAATTCAGTGATTCTCAGTCTTTTGTGTTCATCAAAATCACCTGGAGGGCTTGTTGGAACATTGATTTCTGGCACCACTGCAAGAGTTTTTGTTCCATGGGTGTTGGGATCTGAAATTTTGTATTTCTGACAAGTTCCCAGTTGGTGCAGGGCCATGTTTTTAGAAGGGCTGCTTTAGTGCCTTTTTGCGATTTGGGGGTTTTATGTCTTTCCTTATTAGAGTTCCTATTGTTAATGTTATTCATATGCTCCTTTTCACTCTAATGATCTTAGGCGCTTGTTGGGCTCATCACCGCTGTGTGGAGTGGTCACTGGGAGTGTGCCAGATGGAAGAACCGTTATCAGTAAATGTGGACAAAGCTGTTGTCTCAGGGAGCACAGAGGTGAGTAGAAGAAACAGACATTTAAGCACAGCTTTATACATTCCTGTAGTCAACATAGAAGTTCACTTGTAAGAATTATTTATTAAGTGATTACTGTAATGCAAAAATCTTTAAAATAGGAAATTATTAATTTATATCTAAGAGTTGTTATGCAAACCCCTAAAACATAGTATGTTAAGTTATACAATAAATGTAACTTTTTAAGATACATATTTTACATTTAAAACAGAAGTTAAAATGTTTAGAAATGAGAATTAGTTACTAAACTTATAAATCCATGTGGTTACATTTTTAAAAATATATTTTTATTGATTTCAGAAAGGGAGAAGGGGAGAGAGATAGAAACATCAATGATGAGAGAGAATCATTGACTGGCTGCCTCCTGCATGCCCCACACAGGGGATGGAACCCACAATATGGGCATTTGCCCAGACCGAGAACTGAACTGTGACCTTCTGGTTCAAGGTCGATGCTCAACCACTGAGCCACACTTGTCACCAGGCCATGTGGTTACTTTTTAAGACAAAATTATTTGGTGAAGATTTAACCTACCCTGTTTCCCTGAAAATAAGACAGTGTCTTATATTAATTTTTGCTCCCAAAGATGCTCTAGGTCTTATTTTCAGAGAATGTCTTATTTTTCCATGAAGAAGAATACGGTACACATTTATTGTTAAATGAAAATAAAGGAAATTTATTACCTATATACGGTATAGTAGTACGGTAGTTGTCAATACAAACCAGACAAACTGTGAATCCTACACTATCAAGAATTTACTCATTTATTCAATGACAATCATGTCATCATCTTCTGGAACATCATCATAACAATTCAATTCCTGAATTTCCTGGTGAATTTCTTGTGACTCCATTTCTTTCAGAATCAGTGGACCAAATCTCTCATGTTTAGCTAGGGGGGGCCTTATTTTTTGGGGGATGCCTTATATTTCACTTAGAAGGAAACCTGTAAGTAGGTCTTATTTTCGGGGAAACACGGTAATAGAGATGATAATTGACAGGTCTTTAGTCCACAATGTATACTAGCACTGTTTGATGTTTTAAAAATTGATTAAAATACTTCTTTTCAGCTAAGTTCGCACTGTCCCCAAGTACCATCATGTCTGTAGTTTGCCATCTTTCAGGACTTTGATTGTAAACAAGTAGAGAAATAAATGCAACATTCCTCTCCCTCTATAAAGACAACAAACCCTGTGAAGTGAAATTGCTTTGCTGTCTACAAATTCTCTTTGGTTTTTGACAAGTATATTTTGGCAAAGTGAACAGCTCTTCCAAAGAAATATTAAAAATGGAAATTTTGACCATAGAAATTATAGGGTCTTTGATAGGTTGAACATGATTAAAACTTCTGATAGTGTATGGACTTAGATTCAAGTAATAGTTCAATTATTATAACATTTGCTTTACTCAGATTATTACAGTGATCTGATTTACATGGATAAGTAACACTCACCTCAAGATTAGTCAAATGAGAGTGCTTATTTTGGTAATGTGACATTACTTTTGAATGCTATATTATCAAAGTTTGAACAGTGTGATGCATAATAGTAAATTCTACTATCTGAAAATACTTAGGTGGCCACATCAAGACTATGATAGATCAGTGAGAGCTGTTTTTTCTGTGAACTCAGAAGTAGTTTTGTGACATTGAAGAGTATAGGCATATCTTAGAGATAATTGTGGGGTTGGTTCCAGACCACTGCTGAAAGCAGGTATCACAGTGAAGGGAACTGTAATCTTGCTGGTGGAGGGTCTGGCCTTCAGTGTGTGGAAAACTCAGCATGTTTTGTGAAGCACAATAAAACAAGGTCTGCCTGTCTTACAGGAAAGGCAATGAACAAAGGCTAAAAGGAACTTTTTGATGTTGGATTGGAATTGAAGGAATCAATATGAACTCTTTAATATTTATACAGGTACAGAGATGTAGAGATGTGCATATACCTGGGTTAGTGTATATACACATATTTCCTAGCTGTATTCGCTAAGAGGGTAAAGGAAAGATTGCCTCATCCTGTCTGTTTTGGACAGAAGTTACCATTCTTGTTCTTTAAATGCATACTGATTAATATTTAGATGGAATTTAGAGATTAAGGCTGTGCCTTACCCCTGACAGAGGAATCAGCGCCATGCGAAATCTGTATTCCTTCTCCTCCACCCCACCTTAATATATTTTTATTAATTTTAGAGAAAAAGGGGGGGGGGAGAGAGAGAGAGAGAGAAAGAGAGAGAGAGAGAGAGAGAGAGAGAGAGAGAGAGAGAGAGAGAGAGAGAGAGAGAGAAATATGAAACATTAATGATGAGAATCATTGATCAGCTGCCTCCTGCACACCCCTACTAGGGATCGAGCCCACAACCTGGGCATGTGCCCTGACCCCTGACCTGGAATCAAACCACGAATTCCTGTTTCACAGGTTGAAGCTCAACCACTGCGCCAAAGGAGCCAGGCTGAATTCATTCTCACTTTATTTAGGCACTGTGGCCCAAGCAAGTAGAATGCTGGGAATATAGATGGGGAGATGAGGTCAAAAAGAAACCAGGGCAGCTTTGTCAAACCCTTACTTCTCTACTGCATTCAGTCAAAGCAGGGTAGCATTAGTCTTCCATTGTCATTTTTATGCATTTGTTTTCTCCTTTGTAAATTAGGCACAGGATAGACCAGTTAGTTAGAACTTTTAAATTTTTTTTTTCTCCTAAGAAGAGTTTGTCTCATTGATAAAAAAAATTTAAGCATATAACAACACATTTATTGGTGAGACTGTGGGAAATGGGCACTCTGTACTTTGTGGGTGGAAATACAAACTGGTAAAATTTTCTGGAATAAAGTTTGGCTATATCTAACAAGCCACATATGCACTTATCCTGTGATGTTTTTAGGAATCTTCACTGAAAACAAGCCTGCATTGATGCAAAACACTTGCACTATTAAAAGTTAAGCATTGTTTGATTTGCAGAATGTTGGAAACAAGGTAAATGACCACACAGAGTAGAACACAGAGGAATATGGCGCAGCTGAAAACAACAGCAGGAACAGCTCTGTAAGCGGATGCACAGTGGTTTCCACCAGTACCTTTGAGTAAAAAAAAAGTTCAAAAGACCATTTATGGTGTGCAACCCTTTATGCAATAAAGAATAAGATATAAGGAAATATACATGCATGTGCTTCTTTATGGGAAAGGTATACAGATAGGATAAACCAGAACTGAAGCTTGGTTCCCAGTGGTGCGGGCAGGAAAGGGGTATAAAAAAGAGGGAATGGATTGGCATAGCAGACAGACACTTCTCAGGTATATCTTTGTAAAGCTCTGATTTAGAGCCGTAGGAATGTCTCACATACTCCTAAATAAGGAATTACAACCATTTTGGATATAGGGAACCAACAAGAATAGCAAAATTTACACTTAGAGGGATAGGAAAGGAAAGAGCTAATCTAAGTAACTAGAAAATATCTTTTTTATAAAATATATTTTTATTGATTTCAGAGAGGAAGGGAGAGGGAGAGAAGGATAGAAACATTAGTAATAAGAGAGAGTCATTGATCGGCTGCCTCCTGTATGCCCTGCACTAGGGATTGAATCTGCAACCCAGATGCATGCCCTGACCCGGAATCTCCTGGTTCATAGTTTGACGCTCAACCACTGAGCCATCCCAGCTAGGCTGGGAAACAGTATCTTGAATGGATAACTGTAATGACAAAGAAGTGGATGTGGTATAATCCAGAGAGTTAAATGAGTTTCTCACAGGTGCGGGTTAGGAATTCTGAAACTGCTTTACGGATATACCATAAGCGAACAATACGTAAATATGTAGTAGGTAACGAGAGCTAGGTTTTCCAGTGTTGGATAAAGGAGCTACATATAGGGATAGGCGAGCCTGAATTTTGTGGTGTTGAAATGGCTTTAGAGAGATTGAGGTAAACTCATGGAGTTGACTGTTTACACAAACATGTACTGAACAATAGATGTGTGTATTACCACTGAGTTGGCATTCTACATAAATTTCCTAGCTCTGTCCTGTGAGGCCTGGAAGCTGGGACCCTGGAGCAGGGAGCACCCCTAGTGCCCAGACCTTGAGAAGTAAAGTAGTTCCTGGTGCAGGTACAAACGTGATGAGGCACGAAGGTGTCAGGAACGGACAGAAAGATGGGCATGTATGGAGAGCAAGGAGTCAGCTTGAGTTAGTTCTGCAGAGCTTCTTGGAAAAACGACAAAATGGGACCACAACGGGTTTCCATCTGCAGGATAAACTAAATACTCACAAGTCTGGACTGACATAAGTAGTGCAAGTCAGACACATCTCTTCTTTAACTAACATTCTCCAGTGGCTTCCCATTTCATTTGTAGAATAAAAGCTAGTCCTAACTAACCAGCCAGGCTCTGGGCTCCCCTCTCCTCCCCCAAGTACTTCTAAGACATCACCCCATAGCACTCTTCCCTTTTCCTGTTTCCTTCAGTCACACTACTCCGTCCGTGTCTTCCTCAAGTAGGCCAGACATCTCTCACCTCAGGGTCTTTGCACCTCTTGTTCTTTCTCTGTTGAATATTCTTCTTCGATACACGAGTATCGAATGTTCTCTCATTTCCTTTAGATATTTATTCAAGTTACCTTATCAGTGAGAACTTCGCTGGGCTCCCTATCAAAAATTTCAAGTGTCTCCTCTTCCCATAATGCCCCTGCTTTATTGTTTCTCCCCTGTTTAAAAATTTTGAATACATTTTAATTTATTTTTTTAAAGTTGATTTTTGGAGAGGAAGGAAGAGGGAGAGAGAGATAGAAACATGAGAGAGAATCATTGTTCAACTGCCTTCTGAATGCCCCTTACTGAGGATTGAGCCTACAACCCGGGCATGTGCCCTGACCAGTAATCAAACTGTGACGTCCTGATTCACAGGTTGATGCTCAGCTGCTGAATTGCCGCTGGGCTATTGTTTCTCCTTTCATGTATTGCCATCTGACATATGAGTAGTGTGTATTTACTTGCAATC